CTGTGTGGTCAGGCTGGGTGCTTGATTCTGGGAGGGAAGGAGGATTATGCAAAGGGGTAAAACAGAGAAAGAAGGCAACCCAGATCCAGGGGTGGAAAAAAAGAGAAGAAAATAAGGGAGCTTTCTAGTCTGTGCTCTCAGAACACTTACCCCTGCCAGACCCGACTGACCCCTGTCAGCATAACCAGAACTGTACCAAACTTCTCAGTCTCAGCTCCAAGGATTATGCAGCTTTGGCCTGACCTCCCACAGCTGCCCTGACAGCTCAGGTAAGGCCCGGATTAGCCCTGGCTCCTCCCCCAGGTGAGGGGAGAGGGGAAAGCCCTGAAATCTCACTCCAGTCCACTGGGCCTTGGGTTCTGAGGGACAGTGTCTATTCCTCTGCAAAGTATGGTCCTGGAGGAAAGAGAGCTTGCTCTGGGGTCAGCGTTACCCAGGCCCCAGGGGTCCGATGAGAAAGGAGACAAGGCTCAGAATGAGGTGCTGTCCCTGCTGCCACTGGCAACCTCACTCCCATAGACCTGGGCAAACAGGTTTCTCAAGACAGGAGGAGGGCACAGATGTTCAACTGCAAGATGAAAAAATTCTGGAGCTCTAATGTACAATGGCAACTGTGCTTAATAATGCCATATTGTATACTAGAAATCAGCCAAGAAAGCAGAGCTTGAGTGCTCTCACCACACACAGCAGGGTAATAACGGGGCAAGGATAGTGTGTTGATTGATGCAATCACTTGACAGTGCATGATCTGTGTATCAAATCATCACATATTAAAGTATTTGATTTTCCTTATTAAATATGCACTAATGAAGCTGGGAAAAAGTAAAATGAAATAACACACACAAAGACAGAAAGAGGTGGTGTCTGGTGGTAGACACACAGAAGCTTAGGGAGTTTGGGGATTGAGAAGGAGAGCTTGGCATTGGGCTACAGTTCATGCACAGATGTGATGGGCTCACATACACACATACACACGCACACGCACACACACATGCACATCCACCTGACACATGTGTGAGACTTATTGTGGATCACATGAATAAAAAGGACGGTGGGGGATCTTTTTAGATTCTGTCCAGCAGGCTACCTTGATAGGGGTGTGGCCTCAACTTACAGAATCCGGAAGTGAACACTGAATTTCAGAGGCTGTGGAAGAACTGAGCTACTGACAGATCAGGGACCTGGTGCTGAACTGGGTTACAGCTCCTGCACAAGCATGATGGGCTCACTCTCTCTCTCTCTCACACACATACACGTATTTGCACGTACCTGTGTGTGAGACATGGAAAGGGCAGCAGTCTGTCTTGGGAGCTTGTCTGGGGAAGCTGTGGCCTAATGGTGAGAACAGAGTTTACAGTCAGACAAGCCCAGGTGCCTTGAGGTCCCTTTATTCTCCAGCAGGTGGCAGAGACAAGGCACTTCACATTTCTCTCTCCACTTCCTCTCTTCTGTAAAATGCAGATGGAAGCTATCTCATAGGAAGACAGAGGATGACATAAGGGTGGCTGAAGAAAGGTCATGCCACTTACACTGGGAGGAAAGGCTGCTTCCTGGGCTCCTGGCAGGGTTTGGGGATGGAGCACGACACCCCTAGCACAGCCTGGCCTGGCCTGGCAGCTCAGTGAAGCAACTGAACGTGACTCCCACATGACTGGGAAGAGTGTTTATCTACAGAGCCAAAGTTCTTCATCTGTAAAATGACATGATAACAGGTACCTTGATCAGCTGGGAACATTCAATGAGATCATATGCATGGAACGGGTGTTGAAATGTCTTGCTTTTGGCTGAGGGCTGAGGGTTGAAAATAATATCAGA